AATTACCTCACTTACACCTACTTCCTTGGGGCCCATATTCCTAATTAGACGGAAAAGATTGCGACTATTACCAATAGCCGCAGCTTTCTGTATCTCTTTACACTTTCTTATTAACCACTTCTCGTGGTCATTCCTCAGACTCTTGATGAGCTGGCGTTTGAGGGATTTGCGCGCTGTGTGATATGTGGCATCCGGGAAGAAGGTTCTGCGAGCTTTTAGCAGGGTGGCCGAGGTCGACGATATCCATGGTTTGTGTTTTGAGCTTGTGACAGGGTCCGACGTTGTTTTTATCGATATTTGCATAGCTTCCTTGATTTGTTTCCAGTGTTCGCTGAGTCCTTCAGCTGGTGACTGAGCTGATAGGTAATCGGAGAGCTCCGCTTCGAAGACCGATTTGCAGTAATCGCTGACGCTGTATCGTGGGCATCCGTTGTCGGTGGCTCTTTTACGGTTGTTTGCCAGGCCTAAGGAGAATTTGGCTCTTAGCAAAGCGTGATACGTACCCACAGGTTTGGAGCAGTAAGAACAGCAGTCTTGAATCGACCTTCTTCAGCGGCAACTGATGGCGATGTGGTCGATCTGGGTCCAGCGCAGTAAAGACATTGGTGGTTTCCATGTAAGGTGGTGTCGTCTCTCGTGCGAGAAGTTCGTGTTTGACAGAAACAATCCGTGGTCCGCACAGAGTTAAAGTAGGCGATCTCCACTGTCCGTCCGGTTGGCTGGGATTGCGTGTGGTCCGCCAAGAAGCCTTTCTGATTCGTTCAGGGATCCCACTTGAGCACTGAAGTCTCCAGCGACTACCACGATGTCTGTTGATGGAACACTTTGGAGTAATTGAGAAACATCCTTGATTTCAGGTATACTGCAATCGGTCGGTGTATACACCGATACAACGAACAAGCATCGACGCTTCATTTTGTAGCTGTTGACCCGTGCTGAACTGTTGAGACGTACAACGCAGTCAGCTACTGACTAAAATCCAGTCAAGAAGCGAGTGCTCAGCCTTGGCACTTAGCGCAATCTCAACACCAGCAACACCGCCAGCTTCGGATTTCGAATCGCTTGCCACACGGAGGGTGAAGCGGGAGATCGAGGTTGGGTGAGGAGAAAGTAGAGAAATGATTGAAGTAGGGTCTTGTATGCGTATACATCGAAATTGAAAGTTTCAAGGGTTCTGGCCAAGGCAGCTTGCTGACCGAACTGACAGTGTG